GATATAGAGCAATTTTTCCATATGCTTTTTAGCCATTTTTACTTCTTCTTTGAAGATACTCCTGTTTATCTCTTCTCATTTTTTGATAGGGTTAGATTTTTTTCTCGCAGAGTTCTACCAGTGTTTTATGTATCTTGAATATTAACCCTTTGTCGATGAGTGGTGGGCAAATGATTTTTTCCAGTCCATGGGCTGTCTTTGTATTCTTTGTTTTCTTTTTAGGTGCTAAAGCTTCTTAGTTTAATGTAGTCCTATCTGTCTATATTTTCTTCTACTTGCTTGATCAGTGGTATTTCATCCTTAAAGATGCCTTTATTTTCAGTGTTATAGGGAGTTCTGCCTACATTTTCCTCTGTACAGCTTATAGATTCAGATCTGATATGTGGGTCTCTAATTCATTTTTTATTTGACTTTTATGCATAACAATATACAGAGGTCTGAGTTCCTTTTTTTTTTTTTGCATGTGACTAACAAATTTTCCTGAACCACTTGTTGAAGAAGACTTCTTGCTCCATTTCATATTTTTTGTTCCTTTATTGAAAATTAACTGACAACATACCTTAGGTCTGACTCTGGGTTTTATATTCTATACCATTGATATGAGGGTCTGCCCTTGTTCCAATACCATGCGGTTTTAATTACTATAGCTTTATAGTACAGTTTGAAGTTGGGGAAAGTGATAACTCTCATTTTTTTTTCCGAGGTTTGCTTTAGCTATTCAAGGAGGTCTATTGTTCTATATACATTTTTGGAGTGTTTGCTCTATGTCTTTGAAAAATGGCATGGGTCTCCTTATAGGGACTTCTTTGAATTTATAGAATGCTTTGGAGAATATTGCCATTTTGATAGTGTTAATCCTCCCAATCTATTAGTATTGGATGTGTTTCTATTTTATTGTGTCCTCTGTCATTTCTTTCTTCTTTTTTTTAAATGTAGGAGTATTGCTATTTATTCAGCCACCGATTAGACTGATTCGATTGGGCATGAACTCCACCTTACTTTTTTTCCCCCATTTTTTATAATTTTATTTATTGAATCACTTTGAGAGCAATTACAAAGCTTTTGGGTTTATGTCTCGGTCATACAATGAAACACCCATACCTTCACCAGTGCCCATTCTCCACCATCAAACACCCCAGTATACCCCCATCCCACACCCTCCCCCTACCTGGGGGGAGATGATTTCCACATCACTCTCTCTCTACTTGGATTACATTCAATATCTAGACACCAGACCCACCATTATTATTTGGGATTTTACCCCAACACTCAGATCTGCCGAAAAGGCAACAGTAGACAATTTGTTTTCTATTGCTGGTTATGAATAACATATGATGTTGCACAGCTGCAGTAGTGGCTGTGCAATTTTGAGATTCCAAAATTTTAACAATTAAATCTGGAGGGATTTCTGCCAAAACCTACTGGGTTCCGAGATTTGTTTCTGAGTCTCTGGGATCATGGCCACTAAGCACCTTGATCAGGAGCCAGAGAGGTCGTTTGTGGGTGGCGACTCGGAGTCTTGTTGGGATGGGGAGGATGGGCCGGCTCCACCCCCATCCCGTGAGGCCCCACTTGTCTTGTCACTGCGGGCCCAAACCTCACTGTCCAGTGGCCTTTGGAGGATGGTGGCCACCGAGCCACCAGCGGGCAGCAGGTAGAGGGACAGCACCCTTTCTCCCCTGGGGTGGCCTTGTAACAGTAACCTACTGCAGGGTTCAGACGCATTTTTGCCAAAAGCCGCTGGGTTTCAAGATTTGTTTCTGAGTCTCTGGAATCATGGCCGTTATGCAGCTTGATCAGGAGCCAGAGAGGCCGTTTGTGGGTGGCGACTCAGGGTCTTGTTGGAGCAGGGAGGAAAGGGAGGAAAGGGCGGCTCCACCCCCATCTTATGAGGTCCTGTGTGTCTCGTCACTGTGGGCCTCCTCTAGAGGATGGCGGCCACTGGCTCGCCAGGGGGAACAGACCAAGGCACGAAACCTATTCCCACCTGGGGTCGCCCGGTGCCGGTGCCCAGATGCATTTCTGCCAAAAGTTGCTGGGTTCTAAGATTTGTTTCTGAGTCTCTGGGATCATGGCCATTAAGCATCTTGATCAGGAGCCAGAGAGGCCGTTTGTGGCTGGCGACTCGGGGTCTTGTTGGGGTGGGGAGGAAAGGGCCGCTCCACTCTTATCTTCATGAAGCTCTGTATGTCTCGTCACTAAGGGCCCAAATCTGACTGTCCAGTGGCCTTTGGAAAGTGGCGGCCACCGAGCTGCCAAGGGAGAGCAGGCGGAGGGACAACACCCTTTCCCCCTAGTTGGTCCGGCACTGTTAATCTATTGTGGGGACCAGATGTATCTCTGCCAACAGCCGTTGGGTTTCGAGATTTGTTTCTGAGTCTCTGGGATCATGACTGTTAAGCAGTTTGATCAGGAACCAGAGAGGCCTTGCCTCCAATTATATAGCTGAGCTGGAGGTGGTTTGTGGGTGTGTCTCCCACATACCTAAATTTTGGCTGTTTACTTTCTTGGTAAACTTTGCCCCAAGTTGTTGGGGTCTGGCCAAAGGCACAGCAGCAATTTTGGGGTATCTGGAAGTCTGAAGTCACCATCAGGCTGCTGATGCCCTCGCCTCACAGGTACAGATTGGCCTGCTGGTGGTACCATACCCCCAGTCTTTCATTTCTTGAAGTACTGTTTTTAGTTTTTTGTTTGTTTTGTATAGGCCTTTCATTTTTTTAGTTAAGCCAATTTTTAGCCACTTTAATTTATCAGGCACAAATATGAGTGGGATTTAAGAAAAATATCTTTCTGTTCTATTTCACTATATGTATATTAGGAAAGTCATGGACTTGTTTGTTAATTTTGTAGCCTGCCACTTTACTGTGCAAATCTATCGTTTCTTGGAATTTCTTTCTTTTCTTTCTTTTTTGGTGATCTATATGGTTTTCTAAATACAGTATTATGTCATCTGCAAATAGTGAAAACTTGACTTCTTCCTTTCCTATCTGGTACCCTTGATATCTTTTCCTTGCTTACTTGCTATGGCAAGTACTTTTAATACTATATTGAATAGAAGGGATGAGAGTGGGCTACCTTGTCTTGTGCCTGATTCTAAACAGTTAACAGTAAATTTTAAAGATACATACAGATATTTTTATATACCTCAGTCCTTTAAGAGCTGCATAAAAGTTCATTGTATTATTAACGTTGTATTCATGTAATTCCTTATTGATGAACTTTGGGTACATTATGGCATTTTTATATAACTTTTGCTACTAGTGTACATCTTTTAACATTTTTCTTATTTTTGTGTGAGTAATTCAGTAATATTAGTAATTATTTTCTGGGTTTCTTTTCTCACTTTACATGTTCTTTTTCCTCGTTTTCACTTTCCCTATCAGTTTTTAACTTTTTTTTACCTTGCATAGTCAACTTCAACAATTATAGAAAGAAAAAATACATGGTGGCTTTTGCTATATGTATTTCAAACTTTTATTAATGGACTATTTTTATTCAACTATTTGATAGATCATTAAAAATAGTTAATTTGAATTTTTCATTCTTAAGTTAATAACTGATAATTGGAATCTTATAACAACTTGAAATATAATTCTACTCCAATTATCTATGCGGTTATTTCTAGTTACAATTACCTTATGTCTCTACTACTCCACATTCTGAGAATCTGCCTCAATTTTGTGTATGCTCTTGAACACTGAGAAGAAAAGTGGCAAGTATGACTCTGATAAAGGACTCTGTGGAGCTTACTGAATTATCTGTGAGTAGGGAGATTCAGAGAGCAAGGCTGGAGAGCAGGAGATAGTAATTGAAAGTGTTCCCATTGGTCTAGTAAATACACTAGGAAGTCAGCACTCTCTGTTGCAACTTTTACTGCCAGCAGTATGACATAGTGGATGTGGCTCCCCTTGAACTTGATGTCAGTACAAGTGCCATGAGTTGGGGGAAAAAAATAGTAGATTGTGTGTATTAAGACCCATGTGTGTCCTAAATAAAAAGGCAAAGTATACCATTTGTATGAACACTTACAGTTTATATAATTTATTCAGATTATCCACTTAATCTGTTATTTACTCAAATTGTAATGTTTTAACAAATGAATGAAGTGGTTAAATGAAACTAGGCTATTAATGGCGGATAAAATGTCATGGACTCCCTATTCTTTCCTCAGAATACTTGACTTAGTACATGGAAGATTGTAAGACAGCAGAGTGCATTCCTGTTAATAAAGCTTTTTTTTTTTTCTAACTTTTTTTTCTTTTTCAGTGATCATCTTGTGCTCACTATGGGTTGTGTATATCTTCTTTTGGAGACCATATGACTATTTGTTTTAGTTAGGATGATATATACCAATGGTTTACTTTTGTTTTATTTTGTATTGTGTCCAAACTTGGTCGTGCTCAGTGATTACTCCAGGCTCTGTGCTCAGGGATCACTCCTGGTAGGGCTCAGGGTACTGTATTGAAACCGGGTTGGCCATGTGCAAAGCAAGAACCCTCCCCATTGTACTATCTCTCTGGCCAGTGATTTTCAACCTTTTAACACCTGCAGTCTGGCACCACTCTGTGGCTCAGTGGGTGAAGACCTTAGCTCTGAACTTTATATGCAGAATCAATGGTTTCCATCTTCTTTCATCTCTGGACTGGCACTGGCCCAGAAAGCAGTGGTTGAAAATACCTGTAAATGCTATTAGAGTGATGGGTTATTAAAATGTGTGGGAAAAATATCTTGAAGCCCCCCCCCCCCCCCCCAAAATGTAAATTGAACATTTCTGAGCTTACATGTATAAATAATAAGAAACGTTTTTGGATCTTGCTTCAGAATTGTGTAGACATTGAGGGTTTTTTTAAAAATTTCATCTTGTCTTAAGAGGACAGATCTTTCATTTATAGATCCTTTTATGAGTTCCTTTACTGCCATTAGCATGGCCAGCATCCAAAAAGATGCTTTTGTTATTCTCTGTGCATAATTACATTAAGTAATTGTCTTGTTTTCTACAGCTGGCATAACTCTGACAACAGACTGCCTTGAAGATAGCCTCCTGACATGCTACTGGGGGTGCAGTGTTCAAAAATTCTATGAAGCTCTGCAGAAGCACTTTCATTGCTTCCGAATAAGCACTCCCCAGGCATTGGAAGATGCTCTGTATAGTGAATATCTCTACCAAGAACAGTATTTGTATCCTTTTATCTGACATATCCATTAGCATATGAACATTTTGAACACTTAGGCTTCATGAATAAAATAACATATTGCTAAATTATTATGGATCACCATTGGCATGTTACTGCATTTTTTTTATAATGGTAATTTACCTTTACATTTTTCAAAAAGCATTAAAAAGGACAGCAAAGAAGAAATATATTGCCAGTTACCCAGAGATACAAAAATTGAAGACTTTGGGACAGTGCCCAGATCACGCTTTCCATTGGTTGCACTGTTAACCTTAGCTGATGAGGATGATCGAGAAATTTATGATATTGTAAGTCATCTTAAAGTTGTAGACACTTATGATATTTAATTTGAGAAGCATTTCCTTGAACTAATAATGACAATAAACAATACCCAGTGTTCATTTTTTATTTTAGATTTCCATGATATTAGTGATTCATATTCCTGATAAGACTTACAAACTCTCCTGCAGAATATTATACCAATATTTGCTCCTGGCTCAAGGTCAATTTCATGATCTTAAGGTGAGTCTTACTGTGTTGTCTCATTTCTGTCTCTTGTTTGTAGAATTTCAAGAAGATATTTATGATTTATAAAGAGGGTGTGCTATTTTTCAGTTAGTCAGAGTGGCTCACTTGATTTGCTGTTGGGTAGAGCTCATACATTTTGAGCTCCTCTCATGACCCCAGATATAAAGCATGATTGCTATTTGTCATGTGGTTGAAATTAGTTTCTTTGCTTTTCAGCAACTCTTCATGTCTGCAAATAATAATTCCACTCCTGCCAGCAGTTCCTCTCCAGAAGCAAGAAGCACAGAACAAAGTTTGTTGGAAAGGGCTGGACTGTCTGAAAGTGAAGTGGAACCTCCAGAGGAAAATAGCAAAGACTGTGTTGTCTGCCAGAACGGACCTGTGAACTGGGTGCTCTTGCCGTGCAGACACACGTGCTTATGTGATGGTTGTGTGAAGTACTTCCGGCAGTGCCCAATGTGCAGGCAGTTTGTTCAGGAATCATTTGCACTCTGCAGTAAAAAAGAACAAGATAAGACAAACTGAAATGCCCTTTGAGGATGTTACAACTGAAAAGTATACCTTCTACTGAGGATGCAGTGATTTGTGTCCTTGGAATTTATCATGGCATGGAATCTACCATATTGACTGTCAGTGAAAATTCTATTTCAGTGTTCTATTTGTATAGTACTTGGGTGGTGAAAATTAATTCTCATACTGGATACCATCTGTGTTAATACATACAAAATTTGTGCAACTCTTGAGAAGAATGTAAATGTTTGGCCTTTTACCAGCTAGAGGATTTCATTTAGTATTGATTCAGAAAATTCTGAAAAGCAATTTATCTAAAATTTAACAAGGTAAAAATTATAAGTTTTCTGAATGCTTTTCTTTAGGTATAATCTGGTCTAATTAGGGGAGGAAAATGGAATTTGTCTTCAAGTAATTGGGTGTTTCCCAGTTTACAAAGGAGTTGGAAAGGGATTCTAACTTATATCCTTCCCTGATATATCAGTCTGATAAATATTCTCTGCTTGGCTTCTAATTTTCTGTATAATTATAGTATTAAGACATACGCATAGGTCTTTTTTTTTTTTTAACAGAGCTTAAGTTATAAAACACAAAGTCCAATTCTAGATCTTCCCGGTGTGTCATAGGTTCAAATGATACTCATGTATAGGAGGCAGTTAATCACAAAGTGGATAATAAAAATGTTTTTGATAATTAAATTTATTGTCAAATATGGGTAGATTAGTAGAATGTTATCTACCAGGGAAAAATATGTTGATACTCAATATCTTTCCTTAGATTTCCTCCTTTACATTGAATTCATCCAAAATTGGGAGGGTGGGGAGATTTGTCAGAAAAATCATTAGATGAAACAAATATGTGGCCAGGGATGTGACTCAGAGGTAGAGCACATGCCTTGTTTTCTGGGTCCAGTTCCCGAAACTGTGAAAAAACTGTCATTGTCATTGACCTCCCGTTGTTCATCGATTTGCTCGAGCAGGCCCAGTAATGTCTCCATTGTGAAACTTGTTACTTGGCATATCGAATACGTCGGGTAGCTTGCCAGGCTTGCCGTGTGAGCGGGTGAGATACCCTCGGTAGCTTGCGGGGCTTTCTGAAAGGGGCGGAGGAATCGAACTCGGGTTGGCCGACCCGGCTTCATGCAAGGCAAACGCCCTATCCGCTGTGCTGTCGCTCCAGCCCCTGTGAAAAAACAAAAACTATTTATTTCTAGTGGATTTTTAAATCAAATAAATCCCATATCTTTCTGACTCATAAGTCACTTTATTCATCTTAATTATATCCTGATAAGAGCTAAGGATTCTGGTAGGCAAAAAAGCTCCCCATCTCTTCAACGTGGCTAAGAAGAAAAAGGTAAATCATAGTTTCCTGTATCTATAAGAGAAATCATTTTAACTCACCAAGAAATTAGATCATGGCAATTAAACCCTTTATCTCCTGTTTGTATTAAGAATAATGCCTTATCTTTGTATCAGTATTTCTACATAGAATAGTTTCATCCACATCAGATACTGTATTCACAAAAAACCATTACCTACCTCTATTTATTTTATTTTTGGATTTTTGGAGCCGCACTTGGCAGTGCTTAAAACTTACTCCTGGCTCAGTGCTCAGGGATTTCTCTAGGTGGGGCTCAGGAGACCATATGTGGTGCTAGAAATAGAACCAGGGTTGGCTTCATGCAAGACAAACACTACCTGCTATATTATCTCTTCAGGCCCCTGTTCTTCATTTTGCAAGCCTAACTTTCATCCATGCTCAATAATAGTTATGTAATAAAGACCTTCTAGAATCCAGATACCTTTTGGGAGTCTCAGTGAGCAAAATCTTACCTTTGAGTATGAGAGGGACATTAATGGCTAATTAGCAGCCCATTTCTACCTTAGGAATCCCTAAAACTCTGCTGTTCCAACCTTGCCATGGAAGCTGGATGGTTAAAAGCTCCCACATAGTCCCACAAATGTGGCTGAGTAAAACCCCCAAGTATTATCTGTTGTGGCTCCCATACTAGAACAAAATCAAAACCAAACTAGTCCCTGCTGTAGCTGCCTAACAGGTGCATAACAGTTCACCTTGGAAACTCACTTTGTGGTCTGAATTGTGTAAATACTTGGAGGTCACTTTGTCCATCCCAGCCTTCCTTTCACTGCCTATGTTGTTTTCTCATCTGAGACAGATTCCACGGGTAATATTCACACGGTCCTCCTGTTGTTCATCGATTTTGCTTGAGCGGGCCCAGTAACGTCTCCATCATGAGACTTGTTGTTACTGTGTTTGGCATATTGAGTACGTCACGGGTAGCTTGCCAGGCTCTGCCGTGCAGGCGAGATACTCTCGGTAGCTTGCGGGCTCTCCGAGAGGGGTGGAGGAATCAAACTCGGGTCGGCCATGTTGGCTGCGTGCAAGGCAAACGCCCTACCGCTGTGCTATCACTCCAGCCCATGGGTAGTATTATTCAGTTAAAAAAAAACTTTATAATTAGTATATGTACATATGTATACATGCATATGAATAACAAAAATTATCATTTTAACCATTAGAAAAATGGGGGTGCTATCTAATTAGTGTGTTGGGGGCCAGAGGCCATCTCCAGGTGATATTTGCCTAACCAGGCCTCACAGGTCAATAATTTCTCAGACCCAGTGATGCTGGGGGTCACCAGGTCATCTTGATAGTGCTTGAGAGCCACCAGGAACACATCTGTTGTTGTATGGGCTGGAAAGCTATGTGGTACCAGGAATCAAATTAGAGTTCTTGTGCATACAAGGCATGTGCCCTTGACTCTACATCTCCCTGTCCCATTTTAACTATTCTTAAGTTATAATTCAGTGGCATTATTGTATGTCCACATTGTAGTAATCATCACCTTTATCTGCAAAAGTTTTTCCAAACTAAAACTTTATACCACAGTAAGTAATAATAGTAATTCTCTATTCTCCCACCTTTTAGTTCCTGGTAAACACTATTCTACTTTCTACCTCTGTGAATCTGATTAGATACTTCAGTTAAGTAGAATGATATTTATCCTTTTGTGTCTGGCTTCTTTTTCAGAATGTTTTGAAGCCTCCTCCAGGTTGGAGCTTGTATCAGAATCTTCTTTTCAAGATTGAATACTGTTTCATTGTGTGTATGCATATACCTGCACATATTTTGTTTATTCATTTACCTTTCACTTTTCACAACTCTTAAAGGTAATTTGTTCTTCTTGTTGCAGCTGAAGTATTTTGTTTCCCTAACCTTGGTGGTGATATGAGGAACTTGGTAGGTTAATCAAGTGAAAAAGAAGCCTACTAGAGGCTAATGTCAGAATTTGCCAATGGCAGTGAATAAATGACATTTTGTGAAAACAGTTATAAAAACATTGTATTTTAATGGATTAGTAGGTAGAATATTTGATCATATAAATTATTTGTGCTTCATATAAATCTTAGCCGGGGCTAAATTTAACAGACTTATTAAGTGTCTGATCACCTTCTTCAGAGACTATTTCTTCTTTAGTTGGCGCCTAGGAAAGTTCTTATTGTCTAAATCTGGTATGGGGGAAGAGCTTAAAAACTTTATTTAGATACCACAATTCTCACTGCATTGTCTTCCATGGGGATAATCTTTCCTAAGGCTTTCCATTTGTTGTGGAGTGAAAAGCTATGTCTTGGTTTGTGAAAACTTGATGATCAATATAGTAAACCTGGAGTTTAGGCAGGGTAGGAGGAGATGACATCAGTCTCCTGTCCTCAGCAATATCTGCCTCCTTTAATCCTTCCTTTGAAGAGTATCCTCACTCCACTTTCTATGTTTTGAACACTCTTTTCTCCCTCTCGGAGAGCCCGGCAAGCTACCGAGAGTATTCGATATGCCAGACACAGTAACAACAAAGTCTCCAATGGAGACGTTACTGGGCTCGCTCGAGCAAATCGACGATCAACGGGAGGGCCTTTACTTACTTACTTTACTTTCCTTGATGGTATCCTTTGGAGCGCAGAAGTTTTTAATTTTTCTAAATTCAATTGATCTATTTTTTCCTCTGTTACTCATGCTTTGGGTATTATTTAAAAGACTTTGCCAAACTTAAGATCACAAAAGTTTGCTTCTATATTAATTTTATCATTATGGACTAAGATCAACTTTGGTGTGGGGTAGGAGGCAAGTAGCTTTATATTTGTGTGGAAATCCTCAGAAACCATTTGCAGACTGAATTCAACATTTATTTTAATGCATGATCATGATCAAGTGGAATTTATTCCAGAAATGATTTAACATGTTAATCAGCATGCTGTACTATATTAACAAAAACAACAATGATATCAACAACAAATCATATGAACATTTCAATAGATTGTGGAAAATGGACTAGGCAAGATTCAACAGTCATTCATGATGTAATTCCTCAATAAAATAGATATAAAGATAACATACCTCTATTTAATAAAGGCTATATTTGATTCTTTCTCCTGGCTCTGCATTCAGGGGTCACTTCTGGTGCTGCTTGAGGGGCCATATGTGGTGCTGGGAATCAAACTCAGGTTGGCCATGTGCAAGACAAGCCTCATGCAAGGTAGCCTTACCTGCTGTACTATCTCTCTGCCCCCCCAATCTATTTTATAATAAAATGCTGAATATCTTTGTGACGCAGCAGACTGTATACAGGGAGAGCAATCTGGTGAGTACTGTGTCCCCTGGGAGCACCTGGGTGGCAGGGTCTTGGCTGTTGCTTCTGCCCAGTATCTCAGGAGTATCATGTGATGCTAGCCTGGGAAAGATTAAAACATTCAAAACCCCAGCCCTAAGGGTAGTTTCTATTGAATGTATATCACTTTCATACCGCTCCAAAGTTGAAAAATCATGAGTAAGTCCGGGACTGTTTCTACTTCCCTGATAACCTGTGCGTGTTGTTCTCCCTGCCTCACTACCCTCGAATTATCCCTTGGGTCCTAGTATTGTCCATATTCTCTGGGGATCCCACTCTCCCTCTGGGACTCAGGTAGGCTCCATCCACGTGTTTTGATAATTCTCTGTTTCTCAATGAACCACCAACTGATAAGACAGTGACTGACTTGTTTCTTTGTATATTCCCATTGCCTTGCATGGAGTTTGCACGGAGTTTGCCTTTCAACAAATATTTGCTGAATAAAATGAATTAATTTTTCTTTTCGGTTTTTGGGTCACACCTGGCAGTGCTCAGGGCTTACTCCTGGCCCTGTGCTCAGGGATCATTCCTGGTGGTCTGGGACCATATGTGGTGTCAATGATTGAACCCGGGTCCTATATATATTGCAACCACTGTACTTGTATTATTGCTCTGGTCTCTGACATGAATTAATCTTCAAGGCACTTGGAGTCACTGCAGTAATTTTCTTTTGATTGTTTTTAGTTTTTGATTTTTAGGTCACACCTGGAAGTGGTCAGGGCTTATTTCTGGCTTGGCATTCATGGATCACTCCTGGTGTGCTCTGGGGACCATATTAGACCCTAGGAACAGAACCAGGGTTAGCTGTATGGAAGGCAAGCACCTTACCCACTCTACTATCTCACCAGTCCACCCTGCAGTCATTTTAAATAGAGCATTAA